CTACTTGTGCTGATTTGTATAATATATTAGCACATGTATGTGCTGGGAAATAATCATACTTTACAACAATCTTAAATCTGTAACGATAAAGATAGTTAATAATTCAGACGAGGAAATTGTATGGCTGATTTATTTCGTTTTATTAGCACATGTTTGTGCTGGGAAATAATCATTTTTTACAGCAATCTTCATACTATTCGGTGTAGGAAAATTTAAATCAGAAACAGATAAATGGATGAGATTGTTACCTAGAACTTACTTGTGCTGATTTGTTTCATTTTATTAGCACATGTCTGACCTGGGAAATAACCATCCTTTACAGCAACCATCATTCTGAACAAGTAAAGGAAACTTTAAATAGCAAATGAGAAAAGGGAAAATCCATGGCTTTGTTACCTAGAACTTACTTGTGCTGATTTTTAACATTTATAAGCACATGTCTGTTCTTGGAAACAATCATACTTTACAGCAGTCTTCATACTTTATAGGTATAGGAAACTTTAAATCAGAAACAGAGAAACGGATGATATTGTTACCTAGAACTTACTTGTGCTGATTTGTTTCACTTTATTAGCACATGTTTGTGCTGGGAAATAATCATTTTTTACAGCAATCTTCATACTTTACGGTATAAGAAACTTTAGATAAGAAACAGAGAAACGGATGATATTGTTACCTAGAGCTTACTTGTGCTGATTGTTTTTATTTTATTAGCATATATATGAGATGGGAAATAATCATATCTTGCAGGAATCATCATAACAGATGTGTAAAGAAACTTAAAACCACAAAATAGGAAAAAGTATGACTGTTCCCTAGAACAAATACTTGTGCCAATTTTGTAAAATAATTAGCACTTGTCTGTGATGTTTCATAACCATACATTCCAGCACTCTTTAAATATATTACTTCTTGCACTAGCAAGCACATGGGAATACCGACTTTTCTTAAACCAGCCGGATGTTTTCCTAAAATTGCAAAAAAATAAGTTAGTACTTGGATCCTCGGCATTGGCAAAATGATTCAGAAATCGATTTTCAACCTTCGGCCAAACCCCTCGTATTATTCTTTTGCAGTTTGGGTTTTACTATCAAGTTCATAAGGTGACTTTCTAGTTTTAGTCTTAGAGGAAGAACTCCGGCTAAACTCCATTAATACAGACATAAGTTGTACTGGAGAATAACCACAGACCTTCCGTAAGCTAGCTTGACAGATTCCTCACATGAAAGAATCCGAAGAACCTGGCAGGATTCAAATCCTCAGCGGTGCAGTGAGGGTCGAGTAGTTTTAAGTCAACGGCCTTACACATTCGGCATTTGATGCCAAGTACTTATACAATACCTCCTTTATATGGTGAATGTAATAATACAAATATAAAATCCGCCATTTGACACAAAATGTTTGTTCTTTGAAGAGTCCTAGTGTTTTTATAATTTGAAATAGAACTCTGTTATGCATGGATATTAGTCATGCTTAATTGTTCATTTCACTCAAAATAAAGAAAGGAAAACAACAAATGTTATTGACTGATTTTTAATGATATATACACGTAAGCACCATTTAAGATGTAAAAAATGAACACAATATAAGATGACTCTGTATAGACACACGATTTAAGGTTTTCTCTAAGTTTGGACAAGGGATAAAATAATAAATTGTTTACTCTATTAATAAAGTTGATGTGAAAATATTTAAATTGAAAACAAAATTAAACTATTATCTCTTTACCTATACCCGTGATTGTTTTTATTTCAAATTTTTTAGTATTTAACCAAAGTGAACTAGAACTATCACTTAAGTCGATTAACACCAGGGTCTTTCAAATAGAATTTGAAAGACCCTGTTCACACCCTCCACTTTAATTATTTGAAAAATAAGTTGTCTGAAGCCACATTTGAACTGGCCCTATATTTTTTTATGTTTATGAAAAAAGAAGGAAAAGTTGGGAGATCTTTAAACAAGAGGGCCATGATGGCCCTGAGGTCGCTCACCTGTATATAGCCCCCCCCCCAACCCCAACGTTGCAGAGCCAATTTAACCCAAGGGCTTTTATTTGCACAAACTTGGTAGACACCCATAAGAAGATGTTTCATGCTCTAGCTCCTTGGGCTTTTTAAAAGAAGATTTTTTTAAAGTTTTTACTATACACATATAGTTAAAAACAATGACACCCCTGGGGCCGGGCCAGGGCTTTTATTTGAACAAACTTTGTAGACACTTACTAGAAGATGTTTTATGCTTAATATCTAAACTCTAGCTATTTGGTTTTTTCAAAGAAGATTTTAAGTTTTTGCTATACACATATAAAGAAAATCAATGACCCCCGGGGCGGAGCCAATTTTGACCCCAGGTCTTTTATTTGAACAAACTTTGTAGACACTCACTAAAAGATGTTTCAAGCTTAATATCTTAACTCTAGCCATTTGGGTTTTTTCAAAGAAGATTTTTAAAAGTTTTTGCTATACACATATAAGGAAAATCAATGACCACCGGGGCGGTGCCAATTTTGACCCCAGGGCTTTTATTTGAACAAACTTTGTAGACACTTACTAGAAGATGTTTTATGCTTAATATCTAAACTCTAGCTATTTGGTTTTTTCAAAGAAGATTTTAAGTTTTTGCTATACACATATAAAGAAAATCAATGACCCCCGGGGCGGAGCCAATTTTGACCCCAGGTCTTTTATTTGAACAAACTTTGTAGACACTCACTAAAAGATGTTTCAAGCTTAATATCTTAACTCTAGCCATTTGGGTTTTTTCAAAGAAGATTTTTAAAAGTTTTTGCTATACACATATAAGGAAAATCAATGACCACCGGGGCGGTGCCAATTTTGACCCCAGGGCTTTTATTTGAACAAACTTGGTAGACACCTATTAGAACATGTTTGATGCTAAATACCTTAGCCATAGCTCTTTGAGTTCTTTAAAAGAAGATTTTTTAAGTTTTTACTATATGCATATAGGGAAAATCAATGACCCCCCGGGGCGGGGCCAATTTTGACCCCAGGGCTTTTATTTGAACAAACTTGGTAGACACTTATTAGAACATGTTTCATGCTAACTATCTTAGCTCTAACTCTTTTGGTTCTTTAAAAGAAGATTTTTTAAGTTTTTACTATATGCATATAGGGAAAATCAATGACCCCCTGGGGCGGGGCCAATTTTGACCCCAGGGCTTTTATTTGAACAAACTTGTTAGACACCTATTAGAACATGTTTGATGCTCAATATCTTAGCCATAAGTGTGACAGGTGAGCTAAAAAATGGGAAAAAAGGAATACTGAATAAATGCTAGGGAGTATGTATCATCATAAAATTATGTATTTATAGCAGATACATGTACAAGATTTTTAAGAGCATTATCAAATTTTAACATAACTATTAGTCTATTACTAATGATGAAGTATATGCAAACAAAACATAAATCAAACAATTAAAAGCGTTAAAATAAAAAGAAACACAACTAAATAACAAACTATAAAAAGACCAGTATTTACATAATAGATCATAAGAGAACAAACATAAAATAAGAGCAACCATTGGTCGATTCATAATTATTAATGGACTAGATTTAAAAAGAAATATATGTGGTGAAGCCTGGGGGATTCAAAACACAGCAGAAAATGTTTGCGATTAAGAACATAGTCATGAAATATGCCTATACAATAGAGTGAAGAACATTTTTCCAACAACTGTTCCATGTATGCCTTAAGTGATCATCTGTTTTAATGGGAAAGTAGAAACGAGAGTTTCCAAAGTAAGAACAATTTTGGACTCTTGTCTTGTCATGGCGATTTATATACCTTTTGTAGTATCCTACTTGATAATTCTTCCTTTACTTATCAAATATCTTACACAAGTTCTATGCGTTTTTAGTTTCAGTAAAAAACAAATTAATTTTTATCTTTTCTAGTAGGAGACTAAGTAACAGAAGTTTCTGCCTGAGAACAGAGAGACCCCAGGGCCATTATTTTTGTTATATTTGGTCAATGTCCACTAGTCATTGCTACATACCCAATATCTAAGCTCTATGTCCCTGCATAGACTAGAGGAATGATATTAAATGGGATACAACATGTAGTTAATTAGGTGACCCTAAATGCTAAAATGGATGCTGCTTATTCTAAATCAATATCTTTTTGTCAACTTTTAAACACAAAAATTCTTACATCATTTCAGATAAAATGATTTTCAGTTAACTGTAAAAATAGAAACTAAACGAGAGCACTACATGATGTATTAATGCTTGTCTAAAGTAAAAAAAGGGGCATAACTCTAACAATATTGCTTTCAGAATAATGCCCCTTGTCTAACAACTGCATATTGTTATGATAAGGAAGCATTCAAAGTTTCGGTTTGATAACTTTTAAAATGTTTGAATAATGGGCTACAATAAAGTTTTTAACGACCAAGAATAGCTGGACTTTTAATCTTCAAAACAGACAAGCTAAAAATAAAACATGTGATGTACATGTATGTGAACAAGATTGTACCTATATTCATACTGTTGAATGCAAATGTACTGAGGATATTGAACACTAACCACTACATGCTAGAAAAAACAAATAAAAAGTAAAACATATCAGTATGTAACAATCTCTTGAAAAGATTTCTGAAAAGTATGTCTTTATTCCTGAGTTTCCATTTCACCAAGTTTCTTTCTCAAATCTATATCAGTCAACTTGCACATTTATTTTTCAGTAATAAAAAGTGACTCAATACGAGTATTATTGGTATAAAAATGAAATGAAGCTCAATCAAATCTCAAACATGCTTAAGCACAACCTTTTTACCTTCACTACTGAGATTTGAGTTTCTTCTCAACACAGTATCTTTCTCGAATCTTTATCATTAAAAGTCTGTCATTTCTTTCCAGTTTAAAAATATAAGATGTTATGAGTATATTTGTCCAATTCTTTATAAAGATATAATATACAGTTTCAATGAACATTCTTATCCTATCCCAAAATGCTTTGTGACAACCCTTTTTTGCTTCCTTCCTTCCTTCACTTCTGAGATTTTATGTTCTCATATCTCTTTGTTAAACGTTTTGTTATCTCTTCACTCAACAGCTTCGCCTCTAGTCCCTCTTCCTCGGCCACCACTCTGTCAGGATGAAAATGTATGACAGCTTTCTGAAGTAATTTATACCTCTGGTCAAATTCCAATTGCTTTGTATCATCTGTCACATCTAGTTTGTGAGTGGCATTCTTTCGTGGATATTTCTTGTACACGAATCGAAGGAATTCTAAGACGGTGTCAGTTTCGTGCTTGTCCAGTTCATCAATTTCCGGTTTGAGCTTTTTCCTTGCTTCTTCCTTGAGTTTGTTGTCTTTTTCCTGCTCATACTGGACTGTTTCTTGCTGGTACCTCTCAAGGATGGAAGTACAATCTTTGAACCATTCTAGCATAGAAAATAGAAATATTTTTTTCTTTGTCCTCACAAGAAATTGACTGCTACTTAAAATCATTTTTTTGTTAAAACAAATTCAATCAATAAATATTATATACTTACAAATGAAATTTTGAGAAATAAAATGCGTATTTTCATTTTCCGTATTTTCACTGTAAAAATTTATTTTTCACTGCAGTGAAACATATTTTCCGTATTTTCACTGGTGTCTTGCCGGACTACTTTCTTTTTGATTCTGCCAGTACACAAAAATTTAAGGGAAAGTCTTTCAAATTTTATCACAAAAAAGAGAAAATGTATATAATAAACAGAAAATTCAAGTTTTTTCTATAAATACATGATTTATTTTCATCTTGTGGCATGAAAATTACCATATTTCACTTGTGGCTACCGCCACTCATGAAATATTTATTTTCATACCACTCAATGAAAATAAATCATGTATTATAGAAAAAACTTGAATATCCTCTATTTATATTTACATTTTGCATGATGAACAATAATTACACAATACATTTTGAGATTGATCAGAAAGCTACATAGGCTTATAAGAGTCCTTTATTTATCTGACACATAAGGAAAATCTTCAAGATAACTCAAGAGCCCTGAATCAAGGTGAGATTATCATAGTCAAAGACATCTAAAGACAAAGTTAAAACTTGTATAAAAAATTATTCTAAATTTTTTTCTAAAACTTTAAATTTTTGATCAAACTAAAAAAAATGTAAAAACAAAAATTAAAAATTAAAAAAGAAAGAAAAAATTTTGGGAATGTCAAAACTCATATGGTGACTTTTCAAATTTTACTAGTGTAGGAAACATGTGGTGCACTTTTATGCATTATTTTAGGCAAAAGCTGGCAGCACCAGCGTAAAAGCCATGACAAATCTGTAAAGGGTGTTCAGTGGTGTCTGATAAATTCAAATGGAAATAGTATGTACATACAAACTATGAAAATTACAAGAGAGACCTGAAATAACCAATAAGACTTATGGCAAATTAAGTAACTTATGTACATTCCATAAAACCATGAAAACAAGAGGGCCATAATGGCCCTGAGGTCGCTCACCTGTATATAGCCCCCCCCCCCCCCACCCCCAGGCCAAATTTTTTACCCAAGTTCTAGCTTCATTGGGTTTTTTTTAAAAGAAGATTTTTAAAGTTTTTAACTATACACATATAGTTAAAAACAATGACACCCCTGGGGCAGGGCCAGTTTTTGACCCCAGGGCTTTTATTTGAACAAACTTTGTAGATATTTTACTTAAAGATGTTTCATGCTTAATATCTAAACTCTAGCTATTTGGGTTTTTTTCAAAAAAAGAAGATTTTTAAGTTTTTGCTACACACACATATAAGGAAAATCAATGACCCCCGGGCGGGGCCAGTTTTGACGCCCAGGGCTTTTATTTGAAACATACTTGGTAGACAAACCCATTAGAAAACATATTTCATGCTAAATATCTTAGCTCTAGCTCTTTGAGTTCTTTAAAAGAAGATTTTTTTTAAGTTTTTGGGCGGGGCCAATTTTTGACCCAGGGCTTTTATTTGAACAGACTTGGTAGACACTCATTAGAAGATGTTTCAATGCTAAATATCTTAGCTCTAGCTCTTTGGGTTCTTTTAAAAGAAGATTTTTTAAGTTTTTTTTACTATATGCATATAGGGAAAATCTATGACCCCCTGGGGCGGGGATCAATTTTTGACCCCAGGGCTTTTAAATTTGAACAAACTTGGTAGACATTCACTAGAAGACGTTTCATGCCAAAATATCTTAGCTCTAGCTCTTATGGTTCTTTAAAAAGAAGATTTTTTTAAGTTTTTAATTACTATATGCATATAGGGAAAATCAATGACCCCAAGGGCGGGGCCAATTTTGACCCCAGGGCTTTAATTTGTAAAAACTTGGTAGACACTCACTAGAAGATGTTTCATGCTTAATATCTTAGCTCTAGCTCTTTGGGTTCTTTAAAAGAAAAGATTTTTTACTATATGCATATAGGGAAAATCAATGACCCCCTGGGGCGGGGCCAATTTTGACCCCAGGGCTTTTATTTGAACAAACTTGGTAGACATTCACTAGAAGATGTTTCATGCCAAATATCTAAGCTCTCTAGCACTTACGGTTCTTTAAAAGAAGATTTTTAAGTTTTTACTATATGCATATAGGGAAAATCAATGACCCCGGGGCGGGGCCAATTTTGACCCCAGGGCTTTAATTTGAACAAACTTGGTAGACACTCACTAGAAGATGTTTCATGCTTAATATCTTAGCTCTAGCTCTTTGGGTTCTTTAAAAGAAGATTTTTTAAGTTTTTACTATATGCATATAGGGAAAATCAATGACCCCCTGGGACGGGGCCAATTTTGACCCCAGGGCTTTTATTTGAACAAACTTGGTAGACATTCACTAGAAGATGTTTCATGCCAAATATCTAAGCTCTAGCTCTTAAGGTTCTTTAAAAGAAGATTTTTTAAGTTTTTACTATATGCATATAGGGAAAATCAATGACCCCCGGGGCGGGGCCAATTTTGACCCCAGGGCTTTTATTTGAACAAACTTGGTAGACACTCACTAGAAGATGTTTCATGCCAAATATCTTAGCTCTAGCCTTTTGGGTTCTTTAAAAGAAGATTTTTTAAGTTTTTACTATATGCATATAGGGAAAATCAATGACCCCCTGGGGCAGGGCCAATTTTGACCCCAGGGCTTTTATTTGAACAAACTTGGTAGACACTCACTAGAAGATGTTTCATGCCAAATATCTAAGATCTAGCTCTTAGGGTTGTTTTAAAGAAGATATTTAAAGATTTTTCTTTCGGTTGCCATGGCAACCAGAGTTCTACATGGAATTAAATTCTTTGAACAATTTTTAAAGGTGACAACCAAAGGAACATTCCTGTGAAGTTTGGATGAAATTGGCTCAGTGGTTTATGAGGAGATGTCATTTAAAGCAAAAGTTTACGGACGGACGAGGGACGCCGGACGGACGCCGGACGAAAAGCGATCACAAAAGCTCATCCTGTCACTTTGTGACAGGTGAGCTAAAAATCAAACATCACAGTTGATTGGTATCCAATTTATAAAACAAAATATTGATTAATAACCTTCTGTGGTAAAATTTCGAGGGGTCATAGACTGAGCAAGCTCCAGAGCTTTCTTCAGGTAAGTTTTTGCTCGGAATTTCACTTTGAATACTTTATCATAAACCAAGCCAATCTTGTAGAGTGCCATGGCCTCCTGTTTCATATCTACATCCCGTGCCTGAATACAGATTGAAGATTCAAATATATTTATATAAAATGTATGTGTATACTTTTTGAAAAAAAAATGTGTTGACAATAAAATTATATTAATTAATTAACACATACATGAACTCACAAAATCTTTTAGTTAAGAAATAGATATTAACTTTGTGTGCATATAATGTTGCATTGTTCCAAGTTTATTTGATAGAAAATAAAATTATGAAGGCAATAGGTTTCTGTGAAGAATTACATATCATCTAGATAATAAACAATAGTATTAAAGGAGGTCAAATAAAATTTGAAATTCTTACATAGATCAAGTGAAACTCCTAAACATGGAAAATTTTATAAAGAGTAATAGAGAAATATGCTAAGAATCCAATTGAAAATCGATTATTATGCGATTCTTAGCCCATTTTGCATGAAAAGCATTACAACGCTTTTCCTTTTGGGGTCATTTCGCACAGTAAAACTGATGACTCTAAAAAACGAGTTCGGGAAATGATCTGAAAATTGACACAGAAGTTATTGGTCCAGACCTTCTTCAAAAGATATACAGACCAAAGAAAAGTATTTCCAGTCTTGCTTGTTAAAATTGTTCAGTGGAGTCCCTTTAACATTCTTTTATAAATGCATTATATTATAACAGAGAAGAAAACAATGGAAATAGGCTTATTGAATTACATTCAGCACACAAGTAACTTTCCTGACATCATCAAATTGGTATAATGATGTCATATCTGATGTCATACAACATATTATCATTCCAAATTCAAAGCAGGACAAATGTCCATTGCACAAATTCGGCAAAGTATACAGTCTATGAATTTGTAAATGTTTAAAAATAGCCATGATGTCATACCCTTAGAATAGCATTCTTGTACCAGTCAATGATCTCCCAAACCATGTCAATGTTCAACATCTCCTCATCCTTTAGAACTTTTTCTAATAACACATCACCTTTAAATACACAAAGCATATATGTAATAATCTCATGGGTACAAGTCAGAAATATCAGAAAACATGAAAACCCTGAATTAAGCATTTATTGACAATTTATAATAACCTCAAAATATTTTAAGATATTCAACTACATATTCACTTAAACAGCAGAAAAAAATAAGATATAATTATTTTCTTACGGTATAAAATGATATTTAATTACTGTATGAGTGGTTAAGTTAGCGACGCGGAAATATTGGCGAATTTTGTGAATTGACAAAGTGAACTTTCTCTAGCCTAAATATCAACAAAATATTATGTAATTCTACCCTTACATGGTTTACTAGTATTTCTCATGCAAAATGTCTAGAATTTTAAATTCTCTAACTTTTAAACGCACGAAAATGTCCACTTAAACAGTATATGTGAAGCATTTGAGCAAAAACTAACACAGATCGGAGAGCGAAACACAAATATTGGCAGTGTTTCAGATATTCTTACCGGTACCTGTTTGCCTGTTTAAAAGTGCCTCCTAAATCTATGTTAATGTCTAACAGAATCAGTACACAGTTATAAAACATATATTCGACAAGGCTTGTACCTCATTTAGTTCCTTGTCCAGTATAGATTTCAAACTCTTTATGAGTGTATTGTACTGAATTCTTAAAAATATTCAACTAATTATTGAATAAACTTTATACAGCAGAAATAAATAAGTCATTCTCACCTGTTTGTCTGGATTGCATGGATTCTGCCAATGCTCTGTTAAGCATAACATCTGTTTCCAGTACAGAATGTTCTTTCCGAATTCTCTCCTCACCCTGGCCATATTTTAGTGCCTCCGCCAGTGGGAAGAAACAATCATGCATGCTACACAAGCATTTCTTGTAATCTCCTAAGGCCACAGCCTTTACCCCATCGTGGAAATGAAACTCTGTGGTAGGGAAAACACATAATAAGTATCCATGTATATATTAAGCATAAATCATTCTCATATAATGGGCATTTAATCATATACTGAAATCAGAGTTCTCAGGCATACACAGGACACTTTCACCATATCACCAGGAGTTGAAGTAAGGTCCCATTCCTAATCCAAAAATGGCCTTTTTTTCTTCCCAATTTGAAAAAAAAAAAAAAAAAAAAAAATAAACAGCAGCTCAAAAATTTCAAAATGTTTCAACTTACGTCCGGGATTGTCACGGAAATCAGCCGACCGTCCCGGAAAAGATTTTTTCAGGGTGAAAGTAAGAATTTGAATAAAGGATATAAAGCTATATCTTACGACAAGTTCTTATAAAACATTAATAAACAGTAAAATTAGATTGTTTCCATAATTTTATGGTTGATTCTAAAAAGATTTGTAACTAAGAATGTCTCTGTTATTTAACACACATGAATATTGTACGTAAATAGAATAAAATATTCTGGAACAAAATATCATTCTGCCACTATAAGTAGGGTAACTTTTAATCATTTAACAATGACTTTGTACATGCACACTGTTAAGGGTCAGATGGTGACCTTCCAGCTTTATTAGTGGAGGAAGACCTAAGTATTTTGTATTGTACTGTATTAGTCTGAATATGATATGATGTTCACATGGATGAACTGTTAATTCTAGCTATCAAATGCAGTTCAAATGACAGTCATCACATACCGGCAATGGCCAAGAAACATTCAGCTTTCATGTCATTGGTCGGTATAAAATCTATACATTCCCGGATTGTAACTATACGATCTTCTTCATCAGTCTCCTTCAAAGATTCTGTTGCATTTCCTATTTCTTCCCAACAACCCCTGTAAGCAAAACATCTTAAATAATGGATTTCATTATTTATTATTGTTTAACAACCTGTGAGAAAAGGAGATTTTTACATACAACCAATGATTAATATTATAGACAAACTTTGGGAAAATCGTAAGAACCTTGCAGTTGAAATAGCATATGAGTGAATTTAAGCTCTTTTCATGTATACAAGCAATATCAGTGATTTGAAATACTAACAAATATTTTTTAAATCTTTGTTTTCCTACATGAATATCACTTTTTGATGTGTCTAAAGTGATATCTGCACAGGGTCAAGTGGTAAATTTCAAGCTTTCATAGATAATGAGGTCTGCCTAAAGTGTAACTTCATGCATAATTTTCAGGCAGTGGCCAGGTAGCCAGGATATCCCCCAACTGCCCAGCAATGAACTTTTATCCAACTATATATTAATCATGGTTAATCAACTATTGGTATCCCATGAATGTGGATAAATTGTACACTGGTTAATTTAGTCCTGAATGCTACACAAAGCCTTCCCTATGCTAGCAAATAAGATTACCTCCATAATAAAATTCCATGTCTAAGCTGGACACATCACATCAACTATGTCATGGAAAACAAAACCAAGGCAATGAAGGTCAAATGTTTCAAAGTCAGATGAATATATCAACAACATGGTTACAGAAATAACAAATCTAAAGTACAGCCAACAGTCTGCATAGATCTTGGTCTAGACTTCAAGAACCGAAGGACAAAATGATTTACCTGCATTGAGCGATGATATTGTCAAGCCATTTATTTGATTTCCCGCAACTTTTACCTTTCCGGAAGGCATGGTTGAAATACTTTAACGACTGCTTCAAATATACCTTTATCACAGGCCACTTGTCTCCTGCAAAATGTAAAATAAATGTTTCTTACAAATTAATAGTTCATATTTAAAACTTCAAAACTACAGGATACAAACATGACACTCAACTGATTTGCATAAGCAGATATTTATAATCAGCGTCCTTCAAATATTTGAAAGACTCTGTTGGAATACAGTGTTCGAGATAACTGAAATATAACTAGAAATGTGTCATCATGCCACGGATGCCCCCGCATGCAGCCAAAATTTCAGATGGTGCATTAATTATTTTTTTCATTTTAAGTTCAAAGCCCTTAAAACTTTTCAATGTTAACACAAACCATTTCCATACAATGTTCAAGGCACTGAAATTATTCAGTCTTAACCTTTTAGAAATAGCATATTGCATATTTGTAGCCAAAATAATGGCTAAAAGAATGAGTGCTGAAACTGAAAGTTCAAAATTTTTCCAACATTTAAGAAAGATAAGTTTGTCTAAAATCATTGAACCATGACCAAATTCAAACTTAATCTGCTTATTCTTAAGATGTATCTATATTATTTTCAAAGTGAAAGGGACATAACTCTGCCAAAAAATCCTCAAACCATGACCAAATTCCAACTTGACCTGCCCATTTCTTTGACATATCCATATGTCAAATTAAAGTTGAATATGTAACACTGTTGGGTAGATAATGAACAGAAACTGTAAATTTCATATTATTTTCAAAGTGAAAGGGGCATTACTCTGCCAAAAATCATTGAACCATGACCAAATTCGAACTTGGCCTGGGCATTCCAAAAACATATCCATATGTCAAATTTGAGTTGAATGTGTTGTACCATTGGGGAGATAATAAACGGAAACTGAAAATTTCATATTACTTTCAAAGTGAAAGGGGCATAACTCTGCAAAAATCATTGAACAATGACCAAATTTGAACTTGACCTGCGCATTCTTTTGACGCATCCATATGTCACCTTTGAGTTGAATGTGTTGTACCTTGAGGGAGATAATGAACGGAAACTGAAAATTTCATATTATTTTCAAAGTAAAAGGGGCATAACTCTGCCAAAAATCATCGAACCATGACCAAATTCGAACTTGACCTGTATTTTCTCATGACATATCCATATGTCAAATTTGAGTTGAATGTGTCCAACCGTTGTTAAGATAATGAACGGAAACTGATGATGACGGAATGACAGAATGACGGAAGGATGGAATGATGGAAGGACGGAATGACGGAACAGGGTAACACTATATGCCCCGGCCATTACATGGTGGGGGCATAAAAATCTTACAAAATACATGTGTATGAAACAATAATAAAAAGGTTTCCAATTTTTTCAAAAATCAAATACCTGTATCAACAGCCAGTTTTGCCATTTTCCATGCCGTAACTCCCACATTTTTGGCAGCGGACGAAATATCTTCATCACAAGACCCTACTGAATGAGCACTCTCGTAGCATGCGAGGGCTTTCTGGTACCTTCCCTTCTGTACAACAGGGACACTTGTAGTACTCGCACTGAAGAAGTGAGTATTTCCTTGTACTCGCCATCTAACTGAGGCAGAAGACGTTGCCATGGTGAAGTTCTAGTCAGTATGTCTGAAAAAGTACAAATATCAAGAAAACATATTGTAGAAAATATCAACGGTGTAACTCTAATCCTTATAAAATATTTACTATTTGCTAAGGATCTTGTAAATGATACAGTTCCCTTGGTTAGTAGCCCTAGTCAATGGAGAAAAATTAAGACTGACATGTATACAAAAATTTATACAGTGGACCGTGACCAAAAACTAAAAATTTAACTGCGTGGACAGGGAATTTTCACCCTATTACCAGGGCCAAAATAATGCCTTGACCTTGGCAAAGTCCCTGGTGGATAAGTAGTTTATATTTATTGTGAAGACAATCTAGAGGTAATAATTTCCTATTTAAATTTTGAAACATCAGGTTAAAAATACTCAGTTGAAGATTTGAAATACTTTTGAAATAGGTGAACTAAAGATAAAAGTATATAGAATACAACTTATTACCTTAACAAAAGTTACAGTATGTTCTTATCAACTCTTCCAAACCGAAAGTAGGAAATTACCTTAAACGTCCTACAGATCTACAAGTCAATGATATCAGATTGCATGTAAATTGTAAAATGAAAATGATATTCTAGAAATTAAACCGAAAGTAAAAAAACAAATCCCGGCATTATTAGATGTTAGACTCTACTGGTTTGGGAGATAAACTCGGCCGAAAATCAGTGTTTTGGGGGCATATTTCATTTATTTGTTTACGTATTCTGATGAATCTTGCACCATAATAAACTTAAGCTCTTCGATTTTCCGGTATCATCATAAAAGTTATATTTAGAAACATAACGGGCAATTTTAAGAGGCCCTGGAAGAGGTACGTAAAAAGGATATTTTATGCGCGCGCGAGTAGATAATTCCGGCTCTTTGTTTTTCTTCTTAAATGAGTTAGTTAAAACGTAAAATAACATGTTAAGACATTTTATTATTTCGTTGCTGTTCATTTATGTCAAATAGAAAATATTTGTTACCAAAACTGTTGAGCATTACGTTAGTATAATGAATATCTATGATAACACGATATTTATATGCAACGTACTATGTAACATATAAATCATTTTTAAGTAAAAACACATGCATTATCATTTATTAACGTATAACGAAATATGTAGAATTAGTGATTAAAATTTATATTTGCTTAGCTTAACAGAGTACAGAAGAAATTAATTTAGTGGTATCCAACCTACACAATAACATATAAAAGAAGCATTTAACATCAGTCTTTCAATCCATTCCACTTAAAGATTACAATTGAGTAATCTGCCTTTTTTCTGAGTTAGCAAGAAGTCTGAATTTCATTTACAAAATGTATGGGTAAACGTCGTCTTCTTTACCGGTAATCGGTCAATATATAAAAGTACCCCTGTGCGGGCCTCAAAATGAGCATCTGCTGCACATGCGCACAACAATGGGATTCCCGTACTTTTTATAGGCATGTTTTGTAAACAAACAGGTAAAAGTCTGTGTAATTTTTTAAATATCTTACCAAACTTTACAAAATCTCCAGATATTGTCGAATTCCAGCGATAGTATGAGATGGTGAGCTTGATTAGATTAAAAACTCTGATAACTCGATTTAATTTTAAAAAGCCGAGTTTATCAACCAGCCGAAGTTATCTCCCCAACCAGTATAACAATGTACTGTACACTTGATTCTACATGTGTAGATCTAGATTAAATCAGTGCAGATGTACGTTGAATGTTGTTGAAGTTATGTTTTGATCTAGTACGTTAGATCTACAATGTACATTCAAAAGATGACTTACAGTAGAAACATAAAAAATAAAGACATTTAACAAAACTATACACTTAATTATTATAAACATAGATAAAAATTCAAATTTACACGTGTTTCAGCAACTGTAATCTGGTAATGTTCGCTCTTTTGATTCTCAGGAATTACATAATACAAATGCAGTAAGGAAACAAAGGGGAGTAACTCAACATGAAATAATTATTGCAATGCATAAAGGGAGGTAACTTTGTAGGAAAAACTATCCAGAGGCAGGACTGATGTACGTAAAATTCGAAATTTCGTTCAAATATCTCACACGGAAACAAAAAAGACAATTTTTTTGTAGATAGGTATCGTATTGGAGTATAATGCCCAAAAAGGTTTAATTTGTAGCACAAAATGGTGATGATTTAGAGTCCGTTTCACTTCCAGAGAGTATAGACCCCTTTCAAAATTACTAAAAATAGAACGCTGCATATCATTACTGACCACAGTTAATCTCTGGAGGCAGAAAACTGTCTGCTAATAGCCTAAGTTCATGGAAAAGAGTGTACACATGCTCAAAATGACCTTGTCTTTGGGTTTTATTCTTTATACTTTTTTGTCTGTATAGAAATCTATTTATTTTTTACTTTAATAAACTATCCATTTCTGCAGACAAAACACTTTTGATCCATTATTATTTGAAAATAAAAATCTTGGATAAGCTACAGATACTAACATTCAATGCGCCCACTGATAAGTAATTTTCTTAATTAAACTGTATTTATAAAATTCTCTGAGAGTAAATTATAAAAAAGGCCATTTTATTTTCCTACAAAGTTTATCCCTAAACACTCTCCTCCCTGAATATATGCAAAATCATTTTAATACTAGATAAACAATATGTATCTTTATATAAATCATTTGTTTGAACTGTATACTATATGTACATTTTGATAGAGACTCAAAAGGAAGCTTGAACTTGCCAAACTATGTTGCCCCTTTAAATAAAATTTTCATCATCATCATCATCATCTTAATCATCATCATCATCATCATCATCATCATCATTATTATAAGTTTTATTATTATTATTATTATTGAATTGTGTACCAGTGTTTCGACATGAACAGCCTGTTCTCAGGCATAAACTCAGTTTCAAAACTACAATTCAAAACTACCAATATTATAAGAAATATCAGAATTCAAAATATGAAATCAACAGACTGGTTTATATACATATATTTGTGTAACATCTATCCAAACTAAACAGATATTCATTGACTTCTGAAATGCATAACCCAGTCATTTAAAATATTTCCACTTCTGCAGAAAAGCCTGTTAATAAAATTAAGGCTAAACTTTAATATTTTGCTAACGATTAATTTACTATGTGGAATGGAGACATTATTAGACCTGCCAGTTACTTAATAATGATTTATGTTATGAAACATAGTAAAAATCGTGAAGCAAAACAATTTGTCATATTATAAAACGTAAAATGCATGCAAAGAATTATTTGTTGGTTGCCACGGCTTTAATTTTCTTGGTCAAATCTTTTTTGATAGCGTTTGTCCATGCATCCCTTCTCCACAATACGTATTTAGGAATTTAAGAACATTCTGTGTTTTGCCTATTTGAGCATCCATAAATTTGAGTAAGAATGCCTGTATGAAATAAATGTTTTGTTTTGTTAAAAACCTATTTAAAGTAGTAGCATAACATCTTGTTCCGCAACATTTTATTCTGTAAATGCACAGTTTTTATGTGTTTTCAATAAAAGAAATATTCTATGTTGAGAGCCGACCGTGAGATGGAAATATCATAATGTTACCATTTTTGAATTTTATGAAAAATATTTCATTAGAATATTTCATTTATGATATTTCATTAGTTTTTTTAACTATTTTATTCACCATTAAGAAATATCCTTAATTTTTACATAAAACAAACCCAAAATACACTAACAGACAAAGTATCAAATAATTCACAAATTTCTGAAACATTTAAGATATATTTTGCTAATAACAACTGCTTATTTTAAAAATTAAAGTATGATTATTGTGATATAACTTCTTTTTAAACTTGTTCTGGAGGCTTATCAGTAAACAGCTTTCTGCTTCCACTAAATAAAACACGAGTGACCTGAAATTGACCTTACATTCTGCAAGGCGTCTATTAGCCAAAACTTTACAGTGGCATTTGAGAGATTGAGAACATGACAAGGCTGGACATTACGCTAGCTAACGGCATGCTTTTAAAGCCGTCTGTTCCTACGCACCATATAATTCTTCCTCGCCATACTTTGTAGGTCTATTCCCGTCGGGTTCAGTCAGCAGATTGGCAGATAACGCAGTTCAGTCATCATTTTAAAGGAGAATAAAGTTAAAAGAACATATTGACAAACATCATTAGAAAAATCTCCATAAAACTATTTGACGTTTGACTGGCTAAATAATAATCAAAAAATCAACAAAAAACGTAGATGAATTGTGTGGTCTTATGCCAAAGAGAACTAACCCACAAAATCTTAAGAAATGAGTTCTCTAACCATGAGTACTCTTCAAAAAATCTCTATCATTTAGTCTGGTTCCCAGCTTCCTATAGTAAAAAATGTGGGAAAATTTAAACAGGTGAACTATCCCACTTCAACAGTAAGTCTTTACATACAAGTTTGCCAGAGCGAACCAGGAACCAATAGTGCTTGATAAGTTTGTTTGTTGTTGTGCCAAAGTGAACTATCAAGCAAAATGGCCGAAACTAGAAAATGCCTCGATGTAGCAAATGGCAAAAATGGCAAAAATAACTTAAACTCTTCCTGAAGAAATATTTCAAGAGGAGAGTGATGACTCAGTGAAAGACCCTGACTATATTCCAAGTGGTAAAACCCATTTTGTATCATTTATTAAAGATTTAGTAGTTTTTTAATTGGTGAGGTGGGATTTTTGTTTAAATGAATTACATAGTATTACATATAAAGAAACTTGATGATTCATAATGGTGCGATTATGATGAAGGTGTACAGACATGAAATCCTGCATTAATAACCTTTTATTTTGCTTTATCTAAAAACAATGGGTTAGTACACTATAGAAATTTACAAAATACAAAGAGAAATGGTGTTTATTATTGGGTTAGTTCACTTTTGGTACTGTAAACAAACCCATGAAAATTATTTTACCAAAATTGAAAAAATGGTTAATGGAAAGACTTCTACATGTAAATAATATTAATGAACACAAATAAATGTTTTACATCAATAATATCTGTTATTGTGAAAATTATAATTCTGCAGATTACTATAAGTTTGTTAAATTATTGTATGGGATATGAAGGATATTCAAGTTTTTTTTCTACAAATACAGAATTTATTTTCATCGAGTGGTATTTCACGAGTGGCTGTAGCCACGAGTGAAATATGATTCTTTTTCTACAACAAGATGAAAATTTATCCTGTATTAAAAGAAACAGGGCTGGGAATCAAAACTGCGTCGTATCCTACAAAATGTAAACAAACGCCGCCATCTTGAAATGAAAAACGTATGTTTTTGTTTATAACTCTTTTTGTTGGAAATGACTGAAAACAAGATATATGTATTAACACGCTACACTATTTTCCGCTTCGTTCGGTATATGTTGCTTGCACAACTATTTTGTAAAACAAAAGTTATAGCGAACTTGCAACTCGAAGCGAGGCAGAATTTTTATGAAAATGTGTGGATACGACGCAGTTCATATTGCTTTATCTATCGTTTTTTCCTTCAAATCAATTATATATTTGTTTCAGAGTTCACCATAAACTTCGAAATATAATTTTGCATCATTTACTAAAATTTTATTAAAAAGAGATGTTTATTTTCTAAGAAAATAATGATTTTTACGAAATGATACGACGCAGTTGAAATAAAATATGATACGACGCAGTTGTATTTTTGGCAATCTTTTCAACAGGGATAATTTTGGCAATATTTTTCTATTTTATGGAATAATCACTTGCGCTAGATAAAAAACTTTTCAGTTAAACATGAACGTTACCTTATTGATCATAATATCTGAAATAATTTCTTATATTTTCCTGTATGTTCAATATTATCCCTATTTTTTTCGCAAAAAAAAAAATGTAGAAATCTGTTAACTTAAATTCATTTTGGCTAGCTACGCTCTAAGTTAACTGTGGTTCTGCATGTTCTGGGTAATGACTGCTTTTTTGTGGTTTCTTTTCAAACTTTCACTATACACATTAGCTTTACTAGGGGCGAGGACCTCAGGTGCGCCTTTGTGCATTATTTCAGGCAAAATGTTGTACCTGCAGAGAACCGTCGACATTTTGAAACTAGCTTGATAGGTTTTCCACACAAAAGAATAAAAAGTCCCTGGTGGTTTTCGAATTCATAGCAGTTCAGTTCAAGTGATTTGAATTCAGTAAACATAAACAGCTCGGCCTCAGTCGGACACACCTGTCTGATTTGTTTTTTCAACAAAATTTGTTAACGTCAGCTGTACAAATAAGCAGCTTTTTTATTAACTTCTGGCGTGAAGTTTTAAGATTATAAATATTTGAAATAATTATAAAGAGAATAAAATTTAAATTTCTTATTTCGGTATTAATAGCAGAGAAATTTTCAATGTAAACAGGGGGTAATCCTCTGTGAAGTCATTTTCTGAAAACTTTTGTTTAAGTTTTCAGGCAATTCATTATCAAATAAAAATCACACTTTAGTATGAAGGTATGTTAAGATGTCATGCCTCTTCTGTTGAAAATTCGATACGATAATCTGACATTTTCTGTTCAATATTGTGAAAACTTAATAATTCTTCAATACTGTTGAAAGATCATGTCTGCCTATATCTGTATCAAATTTATCGGCGCATAGCGTAAAATACCTTTGCAAAACGGACACCTTTTTTACAAAATAATTTGTAGTTGTATCATATGTAACTCGATTTTGTAAAGGTTTTTGATGGAGAAGAATGATACTTAAGTGCAAATATAGAAAAAATATATTCCGTAGACCTTTCCTCATCGGCGATAAAGAAACGCAGGGGTAAAGTTCCGCGGCGCTGAACATAAAATGACTAAACGGAACGCATAACCTATACTTGCAAAAATATATTGTAGCTTAACCATTTATAATATAATTTAAAAAATTTAATGTTCAGTTTCAAATAATAAAGCTCATCTGTCCTCGTCGATTATTAAGAAAATGAATACAATGAAATTGGCACGTAAAAGAC